AACAAATTACTTGAAGTGGCAGATGCTTTAAACATCAGTGCAAAAAGCCAAGCAATTGTTTACTTTGTGTTTTGGGGCATGTCAGTTAGTCAATGGAAATGCTTACTAATTCCTATTCCTATGCTCCAGCCACTGGACTAGGTCAATTCCAAGAAAGAGACACTAGTTTAAACAAGAGACTTTCTAACCTGAATGTACTAGATAACTAATGTTTAAAACCTTGATAAATTGCTGTGGATATCAAAAGACAGCGTATTGGACAAATAGAAATACAACGCATCCTCAGTGGGTTTAGAAAGAATTTAGGCTAAATAAATCTTATCCAAGAAGAATGCAACATATAAAAACACAAATTGTTTTTGTAGATCCAATAGCTTACTTCCGTGGTCACCAACCAGTAGATCTCAGGGGCTCTAAGAGTAGCTCTCGAGCGCTCTCTGAACTGCGCATCTGCGCAGTACGTTTACATTAGATTTCCTCATGTAATGTAGGCGGGACTTCAAGAAAGGGGCGGGGCAGTAGATCTTTGCCTGTTCTGAGACTTAAAATGTGATCTTGGGTGTAAAAAGGTTGGAGACCACTGGCTTACTTTAATTTTTCAAAGTTTTCTGGCTCCAGACTCCATATTTCTTCAACCTGTGCTCCCCTGCAACCTGAAAGAGCAAAACTACAGTTGTAACTATCCTAAAATGGAGAAGAGAAAGCCATATTAATATATATGCGCACACACACGCACATTTTAAAGAAACATACACAATATCAGATATAAAAACAAAAAGCCTATGAATGATATGGATGAAAGATTAGAAAAAAGAGCACTGTCAAATGAACAGAGTGTACATTATCTTACCCATTACAAAGATAGCTTCCCCAATTATCACCTCTAATATGATTAACTCACCGACATTGACCTTCCCCCCCCCCATCTGTTCTGAAATTTGATTTGTCCTTTTCATATGTGTTCATTTTTTTTATTGTATCCTTTGGTATATATGGTTGTAACAATTTTCTTCCACTGTTTGATCTGAGGAAGTGGGTCTGGCCCACGAAAGCTCATCACCTAATAAACCATCTTGTTAGTCTTTAAAGTGCTACATAGTCCTGTTTTGTGTTTCAACTAGTTTTATTAGTTAGTTTCCAAGGTGTGTGTTGAGTTTTCAGTCTTTAATGAAGAAGTAATGGGTTCAGGTTAGAAATAATGGGACAGTAAAACCACAAAAATCAGCAGAAGGTATTGTGAGTCAAATCTAATTCACAGGTGTTCTTATTTTTTTTCTTTTAAATTACCTGATTTCAAAGTGAGGATCTCTCTTACTAATACTAATAACCCTTACACCACAACAGCACCTTAGTCTATGACTAAATCAGGAAGATACCCCCAGAAACTTCTAGACCTCTAGCCAAAAAAATCTTCCACTTATTGGATGAACAAGGAGAAGCGTAAAAGCAAAGCATGGGAAGAGAAATAAGAGAAATCACTGTTGACTAAACAAGAAACAGTAAATTAAAATTCTTAAGGGAGAATAGCAAGCATCTTATAATGCCACTAATCTTCATTTTGTGACAGAGACAATAATATTAAGATACAATGTAGGTAAAAGCATGTAAATCTCTAGGTTTTGCAGCACTACATAAACATTAATTTGAATTAATATTCAGATTTAATTACGACACAAATAATTAATTTTAAAAAATCAGGTAAAAGGAGCAAAAAAGTCAATCTTGGAGACTAAAGTTCTTCAAGTATCTGTAAAAGCTTCTTGAACAACTTGCCAGTATGCCTCAGCTTTGACATCGTAGTACCATCTCTAAGAGTAAGGATGAAGTGACAATTAAAAAGTGGACACTTCACCAGGAGAGACAGAACCAAACTTTTCCCACAACATAGTATAGCATTCAACCAATCAAAATCATTCCTCAGATGTGTCTCAAAGTCTTTTGTTTTAATCTCAGACTTCAGGTTCCCCTCTCATTAACAAAAATCCTCCAGGAATTGGCAAAATGGTGTATTGATTGATGTTTGTAAAATCTGAGGAAAGAACTGCTAAAGGATAAGGAAACCTATTTCTGTGGGAATTTTTAAGAGTGAATAAGAAGCAGGTTCTACTGAGAACAAATAATCAAATTATTCCCAGGAGAGGAGGTTCCAGGCACAGTTTGATAACTCTAGCAAAACATATCAAACAAACTGCCAGTACAGTCCACACAAGCTTAATAGCTGGCTAATTAGATCATCATTTAAATGGCTCAAATTTTACCCTGACCGGAATATAAAAACAAAACACTCTTTACCCCACTACAATTCTTCTGCATCATCCAAATTACATTAATTCTTTCCTCATTACTTATAGTCTGATTTTTTTCTATGTAAAACAGTTTGAGAAGCTTTCATTACATGCATGAACTGGAAAACTAGACCTATGAGACTGATGGAGATATAGGATGCGGGTGGAGCAATCTCTGTTGGTGAGGTTCAGAGGCAACTCCTGGGTGAGAAATCCTGCCCAAACTGCAGTCAACACACACTGGGAAATATGCTGAAATTTCTTCCAAGAAGGTGTCAGATGAAGTTGCTCCCAACCAAGATTATTTCAGCGTCTGGCTAGTTCATGCGATAAACCTTATCTTTACTTCTCTCTAGAATTCTTCCTCTTTCCAGAAGACTCAGCACTCTTGTGGGACAATTTACAGCCTCTTAAAGAGTACGATCAAATCTCCGCTATTTTATCCACCTAGGCTTTCTGGGATGCAGGAAAGTCTCTGCTATTCTACTACTCTCCTACCTCACCATCCTCCTCCCATTCCAATTTTGTGAACAATTACACTGCCTGTCCCGCAGCTTCACAAACAGCAGCACCATGAAACTGAACATGATTTGACAATTCATCACTGCCCACATGATTCTCAACATCAACAGTTTTACTATCCAGAAGCTTGTTAATCTCATTTGGGTTGTAGTCTGCATGTCAGTATACAAATTTGTAAGATTAAGCTATTATTTACCTACCTCACACAAGTTTTTTTGAATACAGGTTGAACCTCTTTGGTCTGGCAACATCTGTGGTCCAGCATGATTTTAGTTAGCTGGATGTCCACTTATTTTGGGTGTGGCCAAGTTCCCCACGGTCACAGACATTTTGTTTACAGTCACCAGTCCTGACTCTCAGCATTCTGTGCTGATATTTAGCTCTAATTTACTCCTAAATGTCTGTTAAGAGCCCAGAAAGCAATGATAGTGTTGGTAATAATGTTAAACAATACTGAACTCCTGTGGTTCCACAAATTCTCTGGTTTGGCACTGGTCAGGTCCTGAGAGTGCTGGACTAGAGAGGTTCAACCTGCAATGCCAAAAGCATTTAGAACATGAAAGTATCCTATATAAATACATGCTGACATAAAAGAAACATCTTACAGATCAGTAGATGCATATTCATGCAGACACAAGTACAGACTTCTTCGTTCAAGATTTTTTTAGGTTACTCTCAAAATGCTAATGCTTACACTAGGGATAGGAATGCTTAACAAGGTGATGTTTACTGGTTATGGTTAACTGGAAGGGGCAGCCCCCATCCACAGTGGGCCCAGCCTGGACAGAGCAGTGCCTCGCGGGTGGGGGAGTAGGGGTGCTTCAGCCAGTCCACCCCTGTTTAAGTAGATAACTGGTTAAACTGATCAAACAGGATTTTCCATCTCTAGCTTACACTCTGGGCAGCTACTGAACATGAGAACAAAGTTTGCCTCAAAGAAACAACATCACTTTGCTTGAGGTCTGCAGCCGCCTTGTAACAAAAACAGGAAGGCCGGTTCTGAAGCACCAGTGGGACCCTATTACTTGTTGCGGGAGCTGAACCACGCCACTGGCTGAGATGCTGGAGGCAGGCTAAAGCTCAGGAATGGCAGAGCAGACTGCGGCTTCCCCTGCGAAGAGCTCGCCCTACCGAGGCTGGGCACTGCGCTCTCCCCGCGGAGGGGGGTGGCTGGATGGCGGGGATTTAGGCATCTCTCCGCCCGACCCCACTAAAGCAGAATTGCCGCCCCAGGCCCCAACTCGCAACTGCACCTGCTGGGGATACGGGCTCTCGCTCCCCAGCAGCGCCTCTGAACGGG